GATGTCGATTTCAATACAGCATTTCTATTCTGATCACAATAGTTTTCCTTTCCCAGGACTTTGCTCTATGTGATGAAGGTTCTATGTGTAATGACTATCTGAGTTTGCAGCTCATTTGTAAATGAGGGTGAGCGGTATGGTTTGCCATTCCCTCAGGAAGTCCCAGCCTCAGGTTAACAAGCAGGTTTACAAAACAGGAAGTATGGGGAGATTTATTTGCCCCCAAAATGCTGTTATCCTGGTCTTCTCTACAGGGCCACTAGATAAAGTGAAAGGATCTTTGTCCCTGCTTCCTCCCTTGTGCATCCAGATTAACATGGGCACAATCTGGCTGGCAATCAATTAGGTTCACATTGCGCAAATTGCCCATGACAAGGGACAGTGCAGAGCCAGGGTGGGAATGTTCCCCAGAGAGTAGATCAAACCATGTCAGGGGGAAATACATACACCCCACTGCATGCTGTCCCTATTCTGTGGGCTTGTGCAGAAGGCCTTTGCACCATTGGGGTGGATTGTGGCCTGGGGGGAGCAGTTGCTATGCTCTACCTAGGGAGGAGGGATAGCTCAGTGGTTTGAGCATTGGCGTGCTAAACCCAGGGTTGTGAGTTCAATCCTTGAGGGGGCCACCTAGGGATCTGGGGCAAAATCAGCACTTAGTCCTGCTAGTGAAGGTGGGGGCTGGACTCGATGACCTTTCAAGGTCCCTTCCAGTTGATAGGATATCTCCATTAATTAAAAAAAAATTATTTATTTAAAAATTTAAGTTGTAGCTGACCTGAATGCAGGTTGCTGCGTTCAGAAAGCATCGAGACACCACTGGGGGAAAAGTGCTGTCGGGACAGAGTGTGACAATTAGAACCTACCACATCTTTTCTCATTCACATCCTAATAATTTGATCTGTGTACTACAGGAAAGGAAGTTTGCTTTGAAAGGCTCGGGTGCTTCACAGACAATATACCATGGGCTGGAACTATAGAAAGACCAGTGGCAAAGTTACCGTGGACTCCAGAAAAGATAAACACTCGCTTCCTTCTTTACACAAAAAAGAATCCTAATAACTTTCAAGTAAGACCTCTTGCTATTTAAATATTGCAAGTGACATGTACATACAGAGCACAGAAACATCACCTTTTAGTGCTCTTGGCATTCCCAAGGCCAGTCAGAGAAATGGCCAAGTCTCCAATGTAGTCAGGAGGCAGCATTTTCCAGCCCCTCCGAAATTTCCTGTCCACCTTACCACAAGTTTCACTAAGTCTCAAGGGACAGAATTCTTAGTGGTGGAGGCAACAGGTGATTCTTTGAATAGAACCAATAAAGACTTTTCCAACCCTATGCAAACGACAGACTGAAGGCTCCCTCCCCAGAAAGGAGCGCAAAAGTCACCCCTAGCCACACTTCGCATTTTTCCTGTGTCTATTGAGAAATGTTAGGAAAATCTGTAGCACTGGAAGTTGTTTGGTGAGAAATGGAAAGGACACACTAACGGTGAAATCCTGGCTCCACTAAAATCAATGGCGAAACTCCTCAGCCCCTGTCCCGCAAACATACACGGACTTAATGTAACATATGTAAAGTTAAGTGCATGTGTAAATGCTTGCAGGATGTGGGCTTACATAACAACAGTGTTGTTTTCTATTCACATTGCTGTTTTGATAAGGTTTTTTATAGGAAATAGCTAAAACATTTACTATTTTAATATCTTCAACAGGAGATCACTGCAATAAATCCAGCAACGATTCGCTCCTCAAATTTCGATCCAAGCAAAATAACACGTTTTATTACCCATGGATTTGTAGACCAAGGAGAAGAAAACTGGCTGTCGGACATGTGCAGGGTATGGTACTATCTCGATATTTTGTCATTATCAAATCACTTAGTTCACATTTATGAAGGTATTCCTGTAAATTATTCATTTTCTCTATGTCTAACCAATGCTGTCCACATCTATCTTTACAAAATTAGGACATAAAATGTTGTTCATCTGAAATCTATTCAGTTCTAGCTCCACTTCCAGGAAAAATCTTAAACAAAATGGGCCGAATTCTACTCTGTGTTGAAGTCAAAGGGTTTGTACAGACATAAAAGATAACAGAGTTTGGTCCAATTAATGTTTTTTCTCTGGTATACAAAAAAAAATGCAGTAAAATGCTGCTTAGAAATTAAGGAGATTCCAGGGTTTGTTAAATGGGGAGAGATCAAGCTTGTTGCTTCCCAGTTCTGCTGCTAACGAGCTGGATTAAGCTGCCAGGGTACAGGAAGGCTCTGAGGGTGGAAGGTCCACAGAGGAGAGGTGGGATGGCCCAGGACACTGGACTGGACCGTGATAGCTGGGGAGATGGCATGGCTCCTAACATTCCTGTTCCAATCATCTGCCCCTTTGATGCATTTTTACTCATCTTCAGAACCATCTCCTCTTTTCACATTCATACAAAATGTTTTTCTGCAAGTGAGTATTTGCAATCAGAATGGGTGAGCTGGCAGGGCAAAGCTGTGCAGTTTAGTCCTTTGTCTCAAGTCAGTAGCAAACACAGGGCTTCGCTAACCTTCTCCCTGTGCCGAATCCTCCTCCTCTCTCCAGCTTTCATCCCCTCCTTCAAATTTCCCATTGCTTGGTTCTAAATTACCTCAATCTCCAGATCACCAAAGAGGCTGGCGGTCCATTGATCACTGTTTGACAACCACTGACATACAGCCAGGTTCTGCCATCCTTATTCACAACAAGAAGTACTTTACTTGCTTTCATTGGCATTACTGCCACTTAATCCAGAACATAGAATAATATACAAACTATATCACAGCTGCTAAAACAGGGTGTCTTTAGCAAACCATTCCACAGGTCAGAGCAAGAAAAGCAAAACCTAATATTATGTGACAGATAGATGAGTGGATACTTTACTGTTTGGTTACTAAAACAAAACCATAAACTTGAAACCAAAGTAAACTGACAGCAGAAACTTATGTACACTCTTGAAAATATAAATTCATGTGTTTAACAAATACAGATCATATATATGTTTTTAATTATCCCACCTTTTAAAATTATTATGGAAAAATATACACTTCTAACTGAACTTATCATTTACAAGCTGTGTCTCCACATCATTTACGTAAAGAATCAAGATATGAACAGAGCCCTGGTGTAATATAGGGGCTGTACTTGAAAAAATGTACAGGGAATTCATATGACATTTATAAGTCTCTGACTGTGTTAAGTAATCAGTGATCTGAACCGGTGTTGATAATATTTGCTTCTGTTCTTTTTAAATCTATATTTGCACCAGAGGATGTTTCAAGTGGAAGACGTGAACTGTATCTGCATAGACTGGAGTAGTGGGTCAAGGTGCCAATATACCCAGGCATCAAACAATATCCGTGTCGTGGGTGCTGAAGTGGCTTATTTTATAAATGTGCTTATGGTAAGGGATCTTCTTCTCGTTCCACAATAGGATTATAGTCATAGAGCTGCTGAAATGTATTCTAATCTAAATAGACAATCACAATGAATTGTCATATAGCCACCAAAAGACTCCTCCCAGCAAAAGACGGTTCTCCTCCTGATAGATTTTAAAGTCCTATCAACTCCCCCATAATACACAGAGTTTGAATATTTTCATGCTGCGATTACTTTTATGTACTCTTGTGGATGTGAAGGGTTGGGTAGTTTTAAAGATAGAGAAGTAATAAACACAGCAAATTATCCTTTCTCAACCACGAAAGCTATAGGACCTTCTTAAGGGATACCCATATAAAAGCCTACAATAATTGGCCATTGGATAGCAACAGCCACCTCCCAGGAGGAGAGAGCAGGATCCTCTCCCCAACCCATGAAGAAGTGTCACCTAGGTATGGGTGTTTGGGGACAGGTGGGATCTTCCCAGATGCCCCAGGGCCAGGGCCGGCTCCAGGCACCAGCCCACCAAGCTTGTGCTTGGGACGGCACCTGGAGGGGGGCGGCGCGGTGCTCTGGCTCCGGCCGCCGGGGAGAGCGGAGCCGCAGCGGGCTGGCCGCCGGGGAGAGCAGAGCCCCGATTGGGGAGAGCGGCCCGTGGCCAGGCTCGGCGCCCTCCCCTGCCGCACTGGGGGCGGGGCCTGGGGCAGCAAAAAAGCCAGAGCCGGCCCTGCCCAGGGTAGGGAGATGGGGTGTGGGTCTGTAATCAAACTAAGGGCCAGATGTTTAGCTTGTGCAAATCACATAGATCTACTGATGTCAATGTAACTCACCATTTTACACCAAATGAGGCTCTGGGAGGCATTTTCAAAGGCACAAAGGGCCATTAGGGGCCTAATTCCAGTTGAAAGTCAGTAGGAATTAGGCACCTAACTGCCATTTTTGCCTTTGAAAATCTCTCCCTCCGTCCCTAAATCTGATGACTTAAAAGTGCTTGCAACTAGGCCTGAGTGAAGCTATGAGGAGAGGGATGGTTCCTAATATTTTCTGAACTAGTTTGCCTCTGGCTAGTGTAAATACTAGGGGGCTGGCTCTCCATTGCACAGATGTAATTGACAACACAGGCTGCAAGGCAAATTACAAATCGGAATGGTGGTGTTTAGCACTCACATTGCACTGGTGCTCACTCCAACACAAGGTGCAAAGCAGTGGAGAATCAGGCCTTAGCAGAGTGTGGGTGTCCTACATAAGAGCAGCCATGAATTTTTTCCCCTTGACATTCATGAGTTGGCTAAAACAATGTCCACAGGACGCCAAATACACTTCCTTTCACTGTGGGGCTGGTGGATCCATGATTATCCACTGCCAAAAATCTCACATGTAGGCAGAAGTTGCAGAGGTTAATAATGCCTTCAGGCTGTAGTAGCAGCCACTGAATGGCTCTGTTACTGCTCTACACCCTGGACTCTGTCCTCCTTCCAATTCCATGGACCTCTGCTCTGTGCAGCCCATTTCTGGCTTTAGTTGTGTAAGCCAGAGCTTCTCTCTAGGCCTCATATTAGTGAAAATATAGATTCCCTTTTGCTACAATTGATGTTTTCCTCAGGAACAATATGGATACTCTCCTTCCAAAGTCCACTTCATTGCCCATAGCCTTGGAGCACATGCTGCAGGGGAGACAGGGAGAAGGAGGCCAGGCCTTGGAAGAATAACTGGTAAGTTAATGAATTATAGCTCAGTCTATACCAATGAAGAATTTGAAGAGAGCATTGTTAGACCTTAACATTACCTCGCGTTTTTTTACTAAAACAACTACAGTATCTGACTGAAGGAAAACCCTGCAGTGTAATGAACTGGTGTGGGTGTGTATGCATGCATGCACATGTGGGTGTGTTTGCCACTGCCCCCCACAGGATGGAATCAAAACTGCACAACTGGATCATAACCTCATATTGCTAACAGCCAAAATTGTGCCCTTCCTCAATAACAACACCCTCAGGAAGGTATTACCCAGGTGGGAATCTCCATAAGGATCTCTTCATGGTGTTCTTGCCCTAACTTTAATCTTTGGGGGAGGAGGTATATGCCCCCTGAAGAATGTCCCTGAGATCTTCTTACATCAGGGCTGAATCCCTGCATGAAGTGCAGTGGGCAGGAGATGGTTAGCTGCATGGGGTAGTGATCTGCACCAGCATCCCATCCCTAGGATATGTCTGGCCTCTGCTCTGTACGGCAGGTCCTCTTTGTCAGCTGTGCTCTAAGGATGGTCCCAGGGAGCATGGGCTATTCTGGCTCGGTACATAATGACTTAACACTGTGACATTCTGCGTGCCACTAAGGCTGCTCAGTGCAAACGCACAACAATCTAGGTTCATTTGACAGATTTTAATTTACCTGAACCAGTGTTAATGAGTCTGATTTTTCCCAAACCATTCGCCCAACCCTGTTATGACAATGCAGGCTTGACATGGCGATTCCCACTTTCCTTCTCCTGGCAGATTTTCTCCTATCATTTCCTGCTCTCATTAAGCCAGCTTGTTGTGCAGGTGCAGCAGTATGTCCCGTATTTAAGATCACCCACTGTTTGGAGGCCCGGCAAAGCGTGCTGTAGGCAGCACAGTAGTGAGTGGAGTTAATTGTTTGGTGCCATGGTTTTGCTGTCCAATATCTATTCCCAGAAAAGGATTAATTGAAATTGACGTAGCAAAGACAGAAGGTTGAACCTTCAAATGTAACCCCTTAATCTCCCTGCTTTGCTAGGTTTACATCAAAGCCTTCACATCTGGGCAATGCATTTACACACATTAATTTTAATTTGTTATTTTTCCAGCAGATTTTTTTTTTAGTTTAATTTCTTAGGTTTTTAAAAACAACAGGAAAACAAAAATGTGCAGTGAAACTGACCATAGCAACTGTTTTAGGGCTTGATCTTGCAAGATGCTGAGCACTCTGGCCCCAATCCAGCCAACCATTTAAGCATGTGTTTAATTTAAAGGATGTGAGTTGTCCTATTGGTCTCAGTGGAACTACTCCAATGCTTAAGGTTACGCACATGCTAAAGAGCTTTGCTGGAGCATGGACAGAGCGCTCAGCATCTTGCAGGATCAGGTTCTATGACCTATTAAGGTATTAGGGCAAATCCTAACCCCCTCTCCCTTAAGCTCCTTGGATGCAGCAGGCTTGAACTGCAGTAGAAATGCCACTGTTCCGTTGTGCAGAGGAGAACAAACAGCATCACAGAATGTGCAAAAGGATTCCACAGTCACCTGCATAACCCCAGTGCAATGCTCCACAGTGGCTATCTCCGGGGGATTGTGCAAGGGGTTCATAAGTGGGCGGGGAGAGTGACACCAGCGTGGCCATTGAGTCTGCCAACTGCACAGAGTCACTGGCTGCAAAACCTTCTTTGAATTAAAAGAGAGAGAGAGAGCACAACAGTCTGTGGCCACTACTACAGCTCATGGGCCTGAGCAACAGCTGCAGACAGAGTGTTCAGTGCCCTGGCTCTGGGTTGGATGGATGGGCGGAGGATTCCCTCCTTTCAGCAGTCACATAGGTGACTCACACAAAGCTCCTTTATTCCAGGGCTGTGGCGTTCATGTTTTATGAATACAGTCCAGACAAGCTGCAACTTGACTATGTTTAGTAGTTATTCATTATGCCAAGAGAGCTCCTGCATAGCAAACCGATCTATCATGTAATACACATTTACTTACCTATTTCTGAAAATACAGCTAATGTATCCCCCGGACTTCAGTGTCAGGCTGTTTTACAGACACATTCAGCACTCACCCGGACAAGTTCTTTGTTTGGACTCCTCGTTCAGTACACAGGCCAGACCAAGGGAGATGTGCATTAGGCAGAAAAACTGCCCCTCATACACAGAAGCCAATTTCAGATGTTATTAACTCAACTTTTTTCCATTTTAGCATCTTCCAAAGAGTCTGGGCCTGCCAACCCCTGGACTAGTAGTCTGCAAAATTCAATTTAAAAACAAAACTAAAGCTGCTGCCCAGGGAAAGCATCAGATACCAGCACAGGATAATAAGCGCTTTGTAATTTACAGGATTTTACAAGCACCTGAGACAGATGCAGTGAATGAGAAAGAAAATGAGTCTCAGTTTTATGCTAATATCAAAACTAGGTGTCTCAAGTTAGGCTATGTCAACACTTGCAATTGAAGGACAAAACTTCTGTCGTTGACAGCTACTTAAGCCCCCCATCCCCGGAAAGACAAAAGTTTTGCCGCGGCAAGTGCCTGTGTGATCAGGAGCACATTCCTGTCGACAACGGCAAAAGTGCCGACACACAGTGTTCACCCTGCCTGACTTTTAGCAACACGGCCATCTCGCTAAAAGCTGTGTAATGTAGACATGGGCTTAGGCTCCATAATCTGTATCTAGGCACCTAAATAAGCATCGTGATTTTCAAGCATGCTGAGTACCCAACAGCTCCCACTGACTTCAAGCACTTCTGAGAAACAGGCCATTCAGGATATGGGTTTAGGAGCTTCACTTTTAGGCACTCTTTAAAAAAAAAAATCTTAACCTAAAAGAACAATCTATGTTGCAGTTGTTGGAATTCAAGAATAAACATTTACAAGGCCAGATCCTCAGCTGGCATGAATCGGTATAATTCCGTTGACTTCAATGGAACTACCAATCTACACCAGCTGGAGATCTGTCCCACGCTGTTTACCAGTGCCGTAACTAGGCATTTTAGCGCCCGGGCGAGCACGCATATTTGCACCCCTACCATTTTTTCACCCCATTTTACCACCACCCCACAGCTTTGCTTCCTGGGCTGTTACCCTGCTCACTCTGCTATGGTTACGGCCGTGGCATTTACCACTGAGAGATCAATCATATTAAATATTTGTTAGCGACTCCAATTCTGAAGTGAATAAAACTATGTAGCCTCCATAGACCCATCTTCAACTATATACAGTAGTATAGCTAGCTAGCTATATTTATGTGAACGCACATTTAATTGTGGATATATTTCTTTAAGGACTGGACCCTGCTCAGCCTTATTTTGAAGGTACTCCAATTGAAGTCAGACTGGATAAGACTGATGCAGCCTTTGTTGATATTATTCATACTGATTCAGCTCCCACAATTCCATATTTGGGTAAGTTTCCAGCTGCATTGTATTATTATTATTATTATTGATTTGTCCTGTGGTAGCACCTAGGAGACCCAATCACAGAATATGACCCCATTGCAGTAGGTGCTGTACAAATACAGGAAAAAACAAAAATAAACACACAGAAACAAAAAAACCATCAGTTCTTGCCTCAAATAGCTTACAAACTATAGCCCTATAGCGTTATGTAGAGCTGCTATCAGGAAATACATGACAGTATTTAAATTAAAATTTGCTTACCCCTGTCACAAACATTGCAGGTTTTGGAATGAGCCAGGCTATCGGACATCTTGATTTTTATCCAAACGGAGGAATACAAATGCCAGGATGCAAGAAGAATCCTGTTTCACAGATTGTTGACATTGATGGAATCTGGGAAGGTAAATATGTTAAGCAGATGATGACTTCTGTTGAGGGTCAACATCAAAATGTATTGAGCTAACATAGCAGCAATCTTATTTCTATTCTATTCTTCTATTTTTGATTATTTTCTTTACGAATGCCAACAATTACAGCTAAAAACAGTGAAACTGATAGTATGGTCCAAATGTACTCTGGGGGACACGTTCTGGTAGAGGGATCAAAGAATCAGTAGCATGAAGGTTTTGCTTTGGGAAAAACATGATGGGGTTGAGGATTGGCGTCTTTACCTCCAACCATCCAGAGTGTCTGCATTGTCAAGTAGTGGGTATCCGTACAAGGTTGGGGGTGAGGAACAATAACAACAGTTCCTGCTCCCCTTCCATGTGTGTTTGGGCTCCATGGGTCTGCAAAGACCCAGATCCCACCAGCCATGTTCCTTCAAGGACCTTGCCTGACCCACTCTTCAAACTATCCAGCTTTGGATCTAATGGAGCAAGCTTAACTGGAGTTTATTGTAAATAGTCCATCATGCTGCCAAATAACAGGAACAAACTTCAGTGTGATTGTTCCAGTGCCCCTTGTACTGTTTCCAGGTAACTCCACAATAGAAACAAATATTCATTAATTGGTCTATCTCATCCAAAACTGGTTCCAGTTATCTACTCAGAGAAGCAAACCCTACTCAAACTGTGCCAGAAGTTTAGCTCTGGAACAACAACATTCAACTTTGTTTCTATTATGTAGTCACCTGGCAGCAGCACTGGGTGGGAGTGGGAACAATAACATTCATGTCTATTTCTGCTATGGGATCTCGGGCTTCAATTGTTTTGTGAGCTTTGGCAGCTAAATTCAAATGTGTTTCTCTTCTGTAGTTACCTGTTAGCAATTTGGGTTGCACTGGAACAATGTAATTTTTATGTCTATTATTAGGCAGTTGGAAAGAGTTTGGCGTATGATAGATCATGCACATTCAGATTTGTTCCTTATTTTGTATATTTCAAATCCTGTTATTATTATTATTGTTAAGAATCCTGTAGATAGTGCCACAAATTTACACTGTACCTGACAGAACATAAATAAAACACATACCCTGCCCCCCAAAAAACTTGCAGTCTAAGATCCCAAAAACTGCCAAAGGATCTGCAAGCATGAACCTTTACACCTTTGGGAAATCACATTGCTAAATCAAAACATACAGTAAGGACAACACCCCAGCTATAGCAGACATTTATTTTTTCTCTCTCATAAAACCTGACAATTTTCCTGGGATTTCTTTCCTAGCCCTTTCCTACATTATTATGAGCACCTTAAAAATTATGATTCTATGAATCTCTTCTTTGCAATTACTGGCCTATTTCTGCAGTCTTTACTCACAAATTCTTGCCTGTGTAAGCACCGAAGATCAAGCTCTCTATTAATAATGATGCACAAAACTCCCTTGCACTTAATTACTTCTTTTTTTAACCTAAACCCAGAACATTTAAGGAATTTCAGTACAAAATAACATATTTAAAATAACAACACGCCCTTCCCCCGCTCCTCAAATAATCAGGTGGTCAGATCTTCAGTCTGCATAAATCAACATTGCTCCAGGAAATTCAGTGTTAAGGAGGACATAATACTTAAAACAAAATGCAGTGTGTTCTTTTATATAATGATAAGGTGAGCTGTTTCCTACAACGGCCCTTCATTCATATTTGTGGGCATTAATGCAATTAATCACACAATGGGGGGCTACTCATGTGAGTAAGTATTCACCAACATGATCAAGGATTGCACAATTGGACCCTATGTTTGTTACACATCTGCATTTTACATGTTCTGTACTGTGTGCATTTCACAAAGGGTAAATACAGTCACTGAAGAAATAGGTCTCAAACTGCAACTCAGGTGCTGCCCAGAATTGTGACAATGTAATGTGGGGATTTACAAATAATTCAAATGACATGATCAGTACAATACCACGATTCCAATCTGAATAACAACCAATAACCTTGCAGTACGATATGTAATAAGAGCTTCTTTCCACAGGAACTCGTGACTTTATTGCTTGTAATCATTTACGAAGCTACAAGTATTATTCTGACAGCATCATCTCTCCCGATGGCTTTCTAGGATACACCTGTGCTTCATATGACATTTTTCAGACAGTAAGTCATTCTCGCATCCCAGGGAACAAGTGTCTCTTGTCTGTGCATCTGCATGCTGTAGAACCAGAGTTTATTTGGCTCAGGCCACTTTGCACTGCATGAGTGCAGGCATAAGGGGAAGGAAGGGGTGTGCAGGGACATTGGGGGATGGGGATGAGGCACAGAAGGGGCATGGTGGAGCAGAGTTATGCCTGGCTCTACAGTGACCTGAGGTGCCTGAGAGACCTCATGCCAGTGGCATACGTTAGAGCTGCTCCTGCAACCTCTCACCCCGCTGTGTCAAAGAGGGGCTTAGGCAGGCTGAAGAATCTGCCCCAGTAATTATTTATTATGCACATCCAAGGAGAAGTGAGCACAGCCCCCATATTTTAGCATTTTGCCTTGCAAATAATTTTGAAATAAAATCATTTACCTTAAGGTTCAGTGCATGCTCAGTGACTCCCCGATGACCTGAAGGAATAAATACAGACGGGATGTGGCCTAAAGCCACTGCCTTCTCCTTTGTCCATAGCTCCATCTATGACCCAGCTCTGTTAGCTAACACTGTAGCAGGCTCATCAACCTAGCTATGTGGCCCACCTACCACTAGAGGGGAACAGAGCTCCACGCGCAAGGGGTAAATAACAATAATACCTAGCACTTACATAAACCTTTGCATCGTCAAAGCACTTTACAGCCACTCATTAGATGAGCCAGGGAGAGCGTGATCCCCATCTGCAACCCTCATTCTAAAGCACTGAGTTTAAGAGGGGGAACTTAGAGAAATGGAGATGTCTCCTCCTAGCGAACACCAAACTGTGATGAAGTACAAAGGAGACATCCATGCCTCCAAATCCATGAGGTGCCAGACACAGCCCTTCCTCCTCCTGCCCTTTCTAGGGCGGCTTATTTCAAGCTGAGTTAGAGTTAGCCCATAGACATGGCTTAGCAGCATTTTTCTGTGGCCAAATAATTTTTTCCTGTCTCCTTGGGATAGATCCTCATTAATTGGCACATGTATTTCGATTAGAAAAACTGCTTCCCATGCCCCAAAGGTGGATGCCCCCAAATGGGTCACTATGCGGATAAGTTTAAGGACAGAGTTACTTCTGGGATCCAGAAACTTTATCTGAACACTGGAGAGGCCAAGGATTTTGCTCGTAAGTTCCTACTTTTTTACTTGCTTTTACTTACTCGTGAGCACCAACGTAATTTAAACTATTTCCCTCTCGCTTTAAATTAGTTTTACTGGACGAAGGTCCTTACCATGGTGGAGGAGCAGAGCTCCATACCATCATGCCCTCTCCCCTCTCTGTCTTGACAACACCAGTCCCAGAAAGCCCCCAACATAACTCCATAGGTGTAGTTTAACTTCTATATTTTGGGGGACAGCTCCAGTCTGGCCAATGGAGCTATGCATGTGTGTGTGGGGGAGCAAATTCCATGCCAGCCCAAGGCTTACAGTTTGGGGGTGAAATGCCCCCTCACCCCCCCCAAACTATGCCCATGCATAACTCTTTCCCCTTATGCTGGGGGTAGGGACACAGCTGGAGTAGGGGGTAGCATAGCCAGCTTTCTCAGCTGTAAGTCAACGGAAAGTTCCCCTAGACAGAATACTCCTCTGGCCGTCGGATGCTTTAAGTCCTCTTTGCCCTGCTTATGGGCCAGAAAATCCAGTCCTCACTCTTCAGCGTTGTTCCTTACAACACCCCCAAGTTGTGAATAGATACTTTCCTGGTCAATATGACATGTGATATGTTCCTTCTATCACATTATGGATTATTTTTCACAAATAAACACAAAGTCCATGAATTTCCTCTGCCTTGGCTCTTTGTGTAGTCATTCACACTGTGCAAACTGGGAATAAAATGCTACTACCAGTGTGAGTGGAGAATTGTGATTTGCTAGGGTTTTACACTCATTTTGCATGGCTGTAAATGACTGCAGAGTGTGCAAAGCATGGAAAAGCAGGCTCCTAGTATTCTCCTATAAAAACATTCTATTCTATTGTATTCTCGTCATTCCAATCAGGCCAGGATTTAATATTGAGCTCAAAGTGAAGCAACGGTCATGTTTTTCCTCTGTTTTGTCTCGAAACATAAAGTACCGATAGAAAATGAAAAGTAGGCATGTTGTGTTTGTTTCTATGTGGGTACAATCTAATTCATTTTATTTCTGCTGTGTAGGTTGGAGGTATAAAGTATCTGTGGCAATTGCTGGAAAGAGTAAAGTGAGTGGGTATGTAAATATTGCCCTGTACGGAGCTGGAGGAAACACAAAGCAATATGAAATTGTTCAGTAAGTTCAGTATTATAATGATAAATGAGCTTCTCTGCTATTAGAATATTTAATTCATCTATTTTTAATTAATGTTTCTTCTTAATCTATAGGCCAAATGCTGCTCTCACATACAGTGGTGTAAATCCATATTAACTGTATTTACTCTGGATTTATATCGGAAGAAGAGTTAGAATTTAGCCCTACTTCTCTGATAACTATAAGGATACAAGAACCTGGGGCTAGATCCTGATCTCACTTGCACCATGTAACTTAACTGAATTCTAAAATGATACTATGGATTTACACTAGTATAATTCTGATCCCTTATCTTTTCATGTTTGTAAAATGTTGTATCAGTTTATGGTGCTATCATAGGCAGTGCTACCAGCTCGGCCTATAATCAGGATTGCCTGACACTTTCTTTTACAAAACCCTATTTTTGTGTGCTCAGTACTTTGCCAAACTTTAACCATTTCTGCTGTTAAAGTTTGGCAAAGTAACGAGCACACAAAAATAGGGTTTTGTATGTGCTCATTACTTTGCCAAACTTTAACCATTTCTGCTGTTAAAGTTTGGCAAAGTAACGAGCACACAAAAATACCCTATTTTTGTGTGCTCA